ACCTTCATTGTCTTTTTCTAGGATATTGTTTAGAATTCCTTGTAGTGCTGGTTTGGTATTTATGAAGTTTCTCAGGTGTTCTTTGTCATTGAAGTATCTCATTTCCCCATCCATTTTGAAAGAGAGTTTTGCAGGATACACCAGTCTAGGTTGGAGGTTGTTTTCTTTTAGTACTTGAAATATCCCACTCCAGGCTCTCCTTGACCTAAGGGTTTGTGTTGAAAAGAGTGCCATGATTCTGATGGGCTTTCCTTTCCTTTGCATGTGATTTGTTTCTTTTCTCTTATTGCTTGTAGTACTTTGTTCTTCTGTTGGGTTTCTGGGATCGTCATTATTATATGTCTAGGAGTAGGTTTTTTTTTTTATCATGGCTAGTTGGGGTCCTGTATGCCTCACTTATCTGAATGTCAAATTCTTCCCCTGTTAGGGAAGTTTTCTGTCATTAATTCTGTGAACAGGTTTTTCAAGTCATTTGTATTTTCTCCTGCTACTTTATGGATTCCTATCAGTCTTACGTTATTCATCTTTGCGTCATCTAGGAGTTGTTGGATCAATTTCTCATGATCCCTTACTGTTATTAAGAGACCTCTCTCTTCACAGTCACTGACTGCCATCTTATCTTCTATATCTGAGATTCTATCTTTTCATTCTTTTATTCTGTTGCAAACACTTTCAATGGAGTTTTTAATCTCCTGGATATCTGAATCTGTTTAGTGGATTCCATTTCTTTCCTATGTTGGGCATTCATTGTTTCCATTTCTTTCTTATGCTGGGCCTTCATGGCTTCTATCATGGTCCTGACCTCATCTATTTTTTTGTCAGTTTCTGTTCTAGAGTCTCAAATCATGACTTTCATTTTGCTCACCATCTCTATGGTTATCTGGGAAATTATTTCTGTTTTGAATTTTTCTAGAGCCTGACTGATCTGTTTTGTTCCTTCCTGTGCTTTCAGTTCAGGGTGTCCTAATGGTTCACTATTAGACTTTTCATCCTCATTTGCCCTACTCTTTGCCATTGGTGAACTGGAAGTCTGTCTTTGTGTCTTGCTTAAGTGTTTTCTCATTTTTATGTTTGTTGTTGGGTTGTCCTTGGTTTAATTTTTGGGTTATTACTTAAATCTTCCTGACATAGTTGCGCTTTAGCTTTTGGGTCTCTAATGACTCATAGCCATTCTCATTTTCATACTATCAGAGAAAACAGCTTATTAAATCAATCACAATCCTTTATCCCAATTGATACAATCAACAACACAATATGATCAAGCCCAACTTGCAATTGACCACTTGTGGTAGTCATTATTCTATCACCTTTAAACCATGTTAATTAAATTAAAATCAATAAGTAGTCCAATATCTTTGCAGTGAATAAACTTTTCAATATAGCGTATTTACCATTTAGGATGGGTGCTTAGACAGAGTTGGGACAAGAGGAGTAGATAAGTAAAAGAATTAGAGAAGGTTTCAAGTGAAGCCAGAGGACATAGAATGACCACACAATTGTGAAACTGTTAAATTCAAAAGGGATAGACAAAGTAGAAGTATAAGGACAAGAATATATCCCCTTAACAGTAATAGGGGCTCACTTTCCCTTGAAACTATTGACCCTTAAGTGAGGTAGAATGGCAGAAGAAAAGAACATAAAGAAAAGAGGAAAAAATTATAAAAGAAGAAATCTGAGTTAGGGCAGGAGCAGAAAAAGAAAGGGAGATGAGGAATAAAATGGTGGAGCAAGAGACTGAGTTGGAGAAAGAGGACAGAAAAAGAAAGAATTTGCAGAGTAGAATGAGGAAAAGAAAGAAAAAAAATGAATTTGAAGGGCCTCTTTTAGACTATATCTCTGCTGTCATAATATACAACATGCACAGCCATGTGCAGAACCAAGTCCCCTGATCTCAGCTAGCTGATGGCAGAACCCCATGACGCAGACTGACCTCGGGCTGCAAGGCCTAGATTGAGTTCCCCAACCTCCTGAAGGGTTGAACTCCACACAGTTCTAGTACAGGTTTCCCCCACCCTTTCTTTAAAGATGTTCAAAGTTGGGAGCTCAGAAACATACCCTTTATGACCACTTCTGCCTCTGCAGTGTGGGTCCAAAGACTGGCACAATCAGGAGTTCTGAGAGCATGGGGGGGTCCGTTCCCTTCCTGGTGCTGGAGCGATGGTGGTGGCGCCGGCAGGGGAGGGCACGGCTACCTGGTCCTGTGTACTGGGCCCAAGCCTATCACCCATTTTCTTATTCCCCCTTTTGTAAATATAACTTTATTTGTTTGAAGAGGTCCTCCCTTTTTTTCTCTATTTTCTGGCTATCTATCTCTCTTTCAACTGCTTCTTGAGTATTTCTCCTTCTCTCTTTCTCCATTCCCTTTTATTTACTCTTATCCTAGTTGGGTTTTTTCTGTTACTGTTATCTAATATTACTAATTTTCCTTTACTCCTTAATAAGATCTTTTACATCAATCTTGCCACCTGCTTCTTTTTATTGTTTAATTTTTCATAATCTATTATTTTCTTCATGCTCCCATAGCCATACCATTTACCCTTATGAATCCATAGTTAGTTAACAATATTTTAACTGTGGCTGAATACTGTTCTATGTTTAAAGGAGGTAAAATTGCTCTTTTGAGCAGATACTTACTACCTGGTTTGTCTTAGAATTTGTTCTATACCTATAGATCTTGTTCCTATGAGTAAAGTTGGTACAGTGTTAGTTATTAGAATCTGTCATCACTCAGTGTGTGCTTGATACTCTTTTAATTGTTCATTGTAATACTTTAGCCAAGGGAACATAGTTATTGGGACCAGTTTGTGCTCTGTGGTGTATGCCAATATCCAGATCGTCTAGGGTTCATAAACTTTACTACAGTGGATTACCAAAGAACTGGTTACTAGACCAAACAAGCTGCAACCTTTACTCTCTAACAAACCAAGGTGGTAAGATCCTGGGACAGACCCAAATGCCAATAGCTAGCAAAGCATGGAGGACATCTCTGAAAAGTTGATGCTGTTACCTAGAAGTAATTCTCTCTGCAAAACATAGGGAAAGAGACCAAATGACTTAAAGTAAATAACAGAAGGGGTAAATACTATCACTGGACAAATGAAGCTGAAAAGACTTCATAGCAGCATGTTACTAATAATCATCATATGACCACAAGCCATAGTAACCACAAGAGCCAGGGGTCATTAAAAGAGAGGAAACCAAATACCAGGTAGCAGAAATCTATGAAAAGTTTATAGAAGGGATGAAACTAGACATGTTCAAAGAGGAAATGTCACCTTGTTACCATTTTTACCAAAAGTTCACAGCAGTTTCACTCAATATGCTCACAGTGAATTTAGAGGAAAATAAGTTTTAAAAAAACTGGATGAGGTACCAAGACAGTTCAAAACTTGAATGACAGATTCATAAGGATATAAAATCCTCAAAAAGATTCTAGACAAAAATACCTGAAATTTTAAAAACTGTGTAGAATACATATATTGCAGAAATGACGAGTATGAAGACAGAGTGTCTGAAATTGAGGACCTAATGAATTACAGTGAAGTACTTGAAGCCACAAAGAAAATAATAGAACAAGAGAAGATTATCCAGCAGCTGCTAGATGACAATAAGAAGACCAATATAAGGCTAACTGGAGTTAGAGAAAAACTAGAAGATAACACAAATGGGCTTACTAACACATTTACAGAAATCATATAAGAAAATTTCCCAAATATAAAGAGTTTAAAATACAAGTGACACAGAACACCAAATATGATGAAAAAAAGCTGACTAAGCATAGCCTTGTTAAATTACCAGATATCCAGCAAAAAAATCCAGAATTTTAAAAGCAGTCAGAAAACAACAACAACAAAAAATATATAAAGGTAAGCCAGTTAGAATCACAACAGATTTCTTAACACAAATGCTATAGGCCAGAAGAGCTTGGAGTGAAGTATTTCAAGTCCCAAGAGCAAATAACTTTCAACCTAAATTAATTTATCCAGCAAAGATAGCCTTCAAAATAGACGGAGAAACAACACTATTCTCATACAATGCAAGACCCTGAAATGAATCTGGATGTCCATCATCTGAAGAGGAGTTAGTCACTCCAGAGCAGTTATGATACACATTTACTACAGAATATTGTACATTTACTAAAAAGAACAAATTAGGTCTATGCACTACCATGATGTTCATGGCATAATCTTCAAGGGGAAAAGGTTAGTTGCAGAATACAGGGTGTGAGTGATTCTACCTTTGTAAATAAATGCATATATGTTGTTTATTGTCCGCCTCTTCACACTGGGATATACATTTGATGGGGAGGTTGCCTATTTTGTTTAGTGCTACGCTTAAATGTGCACCTTGAACAGTATCTGACACATAGTAGGTGCTCACAGGTCATTTTATTCAATGAATTCATAATTGCCTACTTTTGTAGGGGCAAGAAGAAGGTGAAAGGGGCTACTCTTGGCTGTTAGTTTTAGTTACTTCTGGGGAAAAGGAATATGGAAGGGGAGGGTAGATAACTAATATTTTCTTCATACTTCTTTTTTTTAACTTACTAACAAAAAACAAGGTTTTATAATGTAAAAATATCTAAAAAATATATTACAGGGGAAAAAGGAAGATAAGCTATAAATGTCATCATATGGAGAGACACTCAACATTTTTGGCACATATACTTCTGGGTAGAAGAGAGAAGAGACAAAGCCAGATGGAGTTGTTTGCAGAACAGAGAAGGTTCTGGGTTCAGGGACTGAGTAGGTGTCATTTCCTTCTCTACATTCCATTACACTCATAGGTACTGACTTTTCTATTCAGGTAAAAAGATGTATGAATTGAAAGTTATTCTTTTGGGTACCAAATATGAGTATATTCACCACTTGGTATCTGTAACTATTTGTGTTTTGTTTATAGGAATAAAAAACTCTCAAGTGGCTGCCTTCACCTCATGTGGCTGCTCTCAGTTACTCAGTCACCAATACCAGTACTTGGAATTCTCAGAATACACACACCTTTGGTGAAGAGGCTGCATGCATGTTGAATTAGTTATTTGGTACTTGGAAAATTTTAGGGCCATGCCATAACCCATTTTGATGTAAGCTCCTCGATTGCTGCCATTTTCATAATAATTAGAAGCAGAAAACACAGTAATAACCTGATTAATGAAAAAGATTGTTAGGGCCATAAAGTTAGTTTTCAAACGGTCATACAATAAGGTCATAAATGGCTCAATTCTTAAAAAGTGAAAATCAAACAAAGTTCTTATTCCCTGTAAATTATACAAGTCTTATCATTTCTTAAGATTCCGTTGGAGGAAGACAAAGTTTTCTACTCAGTGTTTCCAGCACTACTAACTCCTAGCCACCTATCCAATATCCCCAGTGCATGGCCCTGGATTCCTATATACAATTTTATTGTCAGATATTGGAATCCTCTATAATATTTGTCTTTGCAAATTTTACTTTTCCAAGGGATATCTCCTCTATTTTCTTACCTTGTAATATTTGAGCATGCAAAATAAAAATTTTCTAGTATCTCAGTCTTTGTATTTGAGCTGAGTGATTCAGAGGGTTCAGGGGTCCTGAAAAATCAGCACTCTAAGGGAAGATAAACAGGGGCTGGAGCAAAGGTCCATGACCACTATTGTGGACAGGGCTGAGCTTTGGGGCCAAGCTGAATATGGAAAAATGGTACTTGTTGGTGACAAGGAACCTGGCCTAGGCTCAGTGCTGTCCTAATGAAAATGTCACTTCAGACAAGCCACTGCTATTTTCTATTTTCTCATTATAGAGAAATCCTAACTAATATTTGCCTTATTCATATTGCAATATTATATAAACCTAAAACAAATAAAGTTAGGAAAAGCAGAGAATCAACATAGAAATAGCACAAAATTTGCTATTCATTATTATTTACTGTTATTGACTATAGAAAAAGAGACCTCCTAGGACAACTGGGGACAGGAACCAGTTCTCAAGTCTCCATCTCTTCTAGCTTTGTCAATATCACTGAAGGAGCACAGTGCATCCCCTTTTAGTGGTGGTAGCTAAACTGACTGCAGCAGGCAGCTTGCTGGAGATCACTTATTCAGCCAAATGAAGGAAAGAGAGGTTTTGTTTGATTTTGTTTTCTGCTCTGCACAAGGAGTGTGCAAAAAGTGGAAGAGGGCAAACTGGATTCATTGCTGCTTTTTATAGGCTTTGTGAGGAAAAGTACAACCATAATCCCACTGTATAGGTGAGTTGCCTCACAACTAGTAAAGGATGTAGTGCCATGTGTCAGAATTTCTCTCTCTGGGATCAGTGAAGAGCAGAGAAATAAACCACATATCTCTTAGAGTGTGGGACAGTGAGGTTCCTTCAAAGAACCTATGTGATCCTCCAGTCTCTGGCTTCTGATTGATTCTAGGGAAGACATCTTCCCACTGGCTTCAGGTCACACATACTTTGTGAAAAGGCCATGTTTGGGGGAAGGAGGTCTGTGAGAATGTCACCAACAACATTAGCTTACCTTCCCATTGTGGCAGATTTCATATCCTTCAGGCCTACATTCATGAGATCTAATGATCCTTTTCAAGTGGTATTTATTAAGCATATTGGTGGTAATGTCTGGTCCAAAATAGCAGCCCCCTCCTCGGCCTGTGTTTGGAAAACAGCCTTTTGTACCTCTGGGGTCACTCCACAGAATGTCAATAATCTGGGAACAGCAAACCAGATTAGGCTGCTATTTACAAGGGAGGATGTATCACTTTAGAGTCTGTTTATTTCCCTGAAATATTAATCTAAGGTATCCCAAGGGCTATTTCTTATTCTTCCCTCAAAATTGTTTCATTCTCATCCCTCCATGCATCCTTTCCAGAATATTTTAATGCTCACTACCAGCCCAATCCCTTTCTGCACATTCCCAATAGCCAAGTTAGCAATAACGGTAGCCAAGGTAGTAATGCTTAGTAACTGTTAAAAGAGTCTGTCGTTGACTTTCAAAATCATAATTGTTTCACAACTTTTGAGTCCATGAAGTTCTTTGTCATGTTCAGAGGAGAAAGCAGATCCTCATAAGGAACACAGAGTAGGTGTTCCTAGTATGTTCCAAAAGATTAGATAGATGTCCCCCCCTGTGGTGTGGACCCAGGTTTTTGTCCCGTTGAGCATACAGCCTGAGGAAGCTCTTACTCTTCCCCATTACAAACAGAGAACTGTTCATGTGAAGAAATCTCTGCCTCTCCATCTTTTGCCCCCTCAATAAGGACATTCTCAGTTTCAGCAACACGTTTACTCAGGGATTGCAGTCTATCAGCTGTTCTCCTAAATCCACACTATTAGTATAAATATTTCCTTCTGAGGCGGAAGAGGCAAATGCAGGTCACATAACAGCCAGGACTGAAGACCTAAATTTCTAAGAATATTTTTCATAGAAAACTGGAAGCTCCTTAATGGCTCTGCTCTATATACGTCCCTTTATATAAACTTCTCCTATGACCTCAAAGAGCAGCGATAAAAGCTGTCTTTGTCATTTAAAATAGTGAGAACCTTGAGAATCCCTCTGAGTCTCACTCTTGAAATCTTTCGAATCAGGCATTTGGGCCAGTTGACTTATAAAGTACCTCAATGTCCTTATTATAGGCTATTGCCTATGATTCTAAAAGTTGTTATTTTTTAATTTTTATTTTATTACTTTTATTACTTGCACTGATGATGGAATCCAGGGCCTCATGCATGCTAGGCAAGTGCTCTACCATTGATCGATACTCCAGCCCCTCTACCTCCATGCTTCTTTTGAGGGCATGAAAAAGGATATATTTGAAGTTGTGTAGTTATTCTAGTGGGTCCAAATCAGGTCTTGAGATGTGAACTCTAAATGTTGCTTCACTAGACCCTGACTGTGCATATAATGTATCTTTATTGTAAAGGACAACATCGTCTATGCTGGTGCCCTCATTGCCTCTCTGGTGAACACTAATTACCTACCTGCTCCCATTCTTGCTTTGATAACTGTTCAGAAGGGTCATTTTTTGATGTGATTATCCCAGACATGATGATTGCACCTACTTTCTTTTTCTCTGGCTCAGTGGAGTTTGTTGACACTGGAGGTAGCAGCACAGATTTCATCTACAAAACAAATGCATGCTTTAGACAAACTCACTGCTTGTCATACTACATGCAGACATTTCAGAAGCAGCTAGGGCTCTGTCTATACTGTTGTGCATCAACCCAGTGAAAAACACAGGGTCTTCCTTTCCATCTTACCCACCTCCTATGTCTCATCAATCCATCCCTGTTTGCAAACTGTGCCTGTTAAGTTCTGTTTGCATGCTTTTCTCAACTAGAGATATTGCCCTGCAGGGAGAAACCTGCATGAGCATCCCTAAGGTATTCCCAATGCACATATGTAGGTGCTAGGCATGTTCTAAGGTGTTACTGCAGAAAATGGAAGATGTTAAGTGCAGGGAAAACTAGCTTCCTTTTAGTCTTTATCTATACCTGGGGCTTGGTGTTCACAAACATCTCTTAAAAGAGTGACTGCTTTTCATTTTGCTGTGTTTTCTAGGAAAAATAAGGGAAAAAATAAGGGAAAAGTATATCTGCATTTAGGGAAGTTCTCAAAGGGGAAATAGGATGAAAACTTTGAAAGCCCTTCCACCTAAATGCAGAATAGTTCTCAACATGACCTATCAACAACTGATTATGTTCTCTGATCCTACTAGCAGAGCTTCTGTGTTTCTTTGGAAAATAAAATGCCTTTCTGACAGCATGTCTACTGTTACAATCCCCCTGCATTCTCTTACACAGCCTGAGACTGTAAATTTATACTTATTTCCTTATAGCATTACACCTTCACACAAAGCAATGTTAAACTATACTTCTATATGGTGGCTATAGTTCAACGATGGGCAATTCTCTGTGGCAGGCACTTAGTTTCTTCCATAAACTACAGTGCATATAAAATCTTGCCTTCATTTTTCAAAAATAAAATGAAATCTTATTCTAAAGTATTGTCTCATTTAGCTGGTAGAAATGCAATCTCAGTTGTTATTAACTAGTTCATAGCCTCCCTTCCTTGTTTTCCTTCAGTAAATGTCTTCAGGTTTTATACAGAATAGAATATTCTAGGGGGATCTTCTGGACCTAGACCCACACAGTTCTTTTCTGATAAGCTCATTGGGCAAGACTACATGGTCCCTTAAACAAGTACTGCTATGTGGTTTTGAGGGGCATTTAGGATGGGGTGCTTCACCCCATCTCCCTTAAGGCACCACACCACCACTTTCTCTTGTGGGGTCAAACTGGCTAATCCTTTCCCATACCCTCTGCTAGGGAGTTTGAAGAATACTAGACCAGAATCTTAGTCTTGTAGAATCTTCCTTTTCTATCCTTCTGTATTGACCTCTGACCTGCTCACCTTAAAAAATGCCTTTAATGAACCCAGAAGGGAGGTTGCCATCAGGTTTCCCAAATACTACCAGTGCACTACTAACAAACATACCATGATCATGGGTGTAAGCCAGGAAATATGGTCACTCTGACAGCTGGAAGGTCTTATGGGATGGGAAAGTGGGGGTTAAGAAATTTGAGTTAAAAATATACTTCTGTATCACAGCTGAGAGTTCCAGAAAGTCAAACCTACTACTTTCATTGCAATTCAATTATATTTACTGTAAGTATGTACTGTCAGCTCAACTTCAATCTACATAGGGTAGAAGACACAAACAATATACAAGTCGGTAGAAGACACAAACAATATACAAGTCAAGTTTGTCTTTAAAACCATTCTTATGAACAGGTGGAACAGAGATCCCTGACGGGGGGGTGAAATTTGGGGTCTTTTGGGAAAATTACTGGCCCCAAAACTTCTTCCATGATCTGTCTTGGTGACTAGACCTCACATCCAAGTATCAGAAAAAGATGAGAGAGTTGGAAACGTGAGGTATATGTTTGGTATTTACTGTATGCTGCTTTCTTCATCTAGGTTACTATATTTAATAATTCCAATAATGCAATATTATAGGTGTTTTATTAGTATATGTTTGTGATACATAATAACTGCATTCATTTCGGGGACTTGGTACATATGTGTATTACATCTTAATCATTTTACTTCCCCTTCCTCCCTTCCTGGCCTTCCCCTCTTCGCAATCCCATTTCCTTTCTCATCTCCACAAAGTCCACCTCCCTGTTTTGTGTCATCTCTCTCTGCTTTTGCTCTTTAAATTATTTATATTTTGAGTTTCTCATATAAGAGAATCCATGAGATATTTAATCTTCTGTGTCAGATTTATTTTACTTTGCATTATGGTCTCAAGATGTATCCATTTTCCTGCAAATGACTCAAATTTACCCTTCTGTATGGCTGAGTAGTGCTCCACTGAATACATGTGATAGGCATTTTTATCTTTAACTTATACGTAAAGAAACTGAGGCTTAGAAAACTTTACTATCTTGTCCAATCACCACGCCAGGAAGTGGCAGACACAGTATATAAATCTAGCTACATCCGTTTGATATCAGATCTTTACAGTCTTTACTATGTCAAGGTAGCTCTCAGCTTAGGGTCTCCAAAGAGCTAGTAAAGGACATTTCGGAGACATGTTCTCAATATCTCAGAAAAAAAAAAAACTTGATCGAGCTGGCTGTTCAGGCTAAGCTCAGGAGAGTACAAGTTTTTAATGTGAGAAATTGGTATGGCTGCCATGGCTAATTAGCACCACATCACAGGGCAGGTGGTAGTGGAGTGTAGCATTCATGCCATGTGCTTGCCAATATTTGACTGACAAAAACATCATGTTCCCTTGCTCTTGGCTAGAATAATACCCACTCACTGTGTTAAAAAGACTATTTCATTTTGATCAAAATGTCTTACTGCCTTGACTATCTCTGATAGCATGAGAAAGGATGCCTTAAACTTAAGATGGCCTTAAGTTTTTATTATAACCGGGATTTTTTTCTAGAGTAGAACGAGGCACTATTAACAATTACACCAGAACACCAGGCATAAACCAGGAAGTATAGGCATCAGTGGTGAGGTGAGGGAGGAGGGATATAAGATCATCACAGATTCAGAAATGGGATTGTGAGAAAGTTTCTTTTTTCTTAGGTTTGCCCTGCTTCCATCTTAAATCTCTTAGGAGATATTCAGCAAATATCAGGCACTTACTACATCTAAGGCACTGGGGTTTTATCAGTGAACTGAATAAGCAAGGCAATGTAGTAAAAAACAGAACCATGATTTCTCATTTAGTTTTGGTAACATAAATTATTGGATATATACAAGGGGCTTGAGAGCATATAAAGGGGAACCTGACTTAGTCTGGAGATTGTAATAAGCTGAAATTAAAAGGATTAGGTGACAGCAACAATATTCACATGTATAGAAGCTCAAAGTGTGACAGGGATCACATTTTTTTTTTTTACTCTATCAGATTCGAAACCAGCTCTAGGTCCCATCTAGGTCCCAGATTAGTAGGAAGTTGACTATCAGTCCCGAGGGGTAATGCTTTAGGTTTCCCACTAGGACCATATACCATCATCTGGCCCCATGTGCCTAGATGGCACCCACTGTATCCCTAACCTGGGGTCTTCGGCTTGCCTCTGTTAATGGAAGACAACTCTAATTACTCTGTAAGGCCCATCCAAAGATTCCTTCGCTAAGTGTGGACTCTAAAGACACCACATACCCACTTTCTCAGAAGTTCTATACAAGTTTCTCTTCTGCTTTTTTTTGTATTTAATATGCTTATCTAGGGTTAAAATATTTCAAAAATGATTATCCTGGTCCAGTTGTAGTGTAATGGAAAGCATAGCAGTTCAGAAATAAATTGCTATATGATTCTACTTATATGAAGTAGCTAGAGTAGTTAAATTCATAGAGACAAAAAGTAGAATATGGGTTACTGAGTCTGGAGAGAGAAGGAAAATAGGGAATTACTGTTTAATTGGTACAGTTTCAGTCTTGAAAGATAAAGTTTTGTAAACAGATGATGGCTACAGTGGTGATAGTTGCAAAATAATATGAATGAACTTATTGCCACTGAATTATGAACTAAAAATAGTCACAGTGGTAAATTTTATGCTATCTATATTTTACCAAATGAATTGAGATTTTAGGGTTTTTTTTTCAGCTTTAATTGAGTTTACTGGTACATTTTAGGGATACAGTACAGTTACTCATTGTTGGTTAGTCACAGTGGTAAATTTTATGCTATCTATAATTTACCAAATGAATTGAGATTTTAGGGTTTTTTTTTCAGCTTTAATTGAGTTTACTGGTACATTTTAGGGATACAGTACAGTTACATTCATTGTTGGGATCTTGTACCTTTACATGACAAGTCTTGATTCTCATTTTTTCCCCTTACCTCTGCCCTCCCTTCACCCCCTCCTCCCCTCCCCATCTACAAACACTTTATTTTCATCTTTACATTCTCTCACATTTTTTTCTTTTCCCTTTTTACTCTTAGAGATTTTAGTTTTTTTAAATATCAAAATGTTTCACTTTTATAAACTTACGATATGCCAACACTTCATTTTTCCACTTTGAACATGAATTTTTAAAAGCAATTTCTACATATAGAAGGTACCCATTTAGTTCTTTATCGAGCAATCAAAGATTTTCTTAAAACTTACACTAATCATTTCAGAGTTATAATAACCACTAAAATACAAATCAAAATAATAGAGGTACATATTACATAATACATCCCTGAGACAGAGTCATGAAAACATCACTACTTACTTTGTTTCTTTCTATGCGGTGGAGTAACTTCAAATCTGTGGATTCAGATATCCCACCATGTATGACCAGGGTTTCATTGTCAATGATGGCACCAATTGGGAGCCAGGTATAGAAGTCTTCCAAGGTTTGCAAGATTTTTTTTCCATGTAGCTGTAAGTAAGAGCTTAAGTAAGTTTTGCTTTTCTGGTAAGTTAAGTTTATTGCATAGTCCTGATGTATGAAAAAAAGCAGTAGTTTTCATGCCACCCAAAGGAAATCAGCCAAGAGCTACTACCCAACTGACATGTATTAATCATGGATTTTTATTCTGTTTTGTTTTTGCAGTACTAAGGATTGAACCGAGGAGGACTCTGCCACTGAGCTACCTCTGCAGCCTTTTAAAATTTTAAGACAAGGTCTTGCTAAGTTGACCAGGCTCAGCTTGAATTTACAGTCCTCCTGCCTCAGCCTCCCCAGTAGCTGAGATTACAGGCATGTGTCACCACACTTAGCTATTTATTCTGCAGTTTCGATACTTTGACATCTTGGGGCCTTGCCAACCTGGAGGAGAGACTGTCCCTCCCTGGGCTAATTCCTAAAGATAGCAAATGACTTTCATATGCAAACCAACTGATCAAGAGCAGCCCACACCTCCAAGACCTCTTTTATCAGGCTTTCATAATCAGAGCTCCTATCTCTTGCCCTAACCATTCCAGGACCAAGTATCAGACAACTAGGGCAAACCCTTATGCCCCAGAGCAGAGTGACATAATTCAACTAGTCAGTCTTAAACTTGATTGCACTGAGGTGGCCATTCCCTCACAAGAGAACCACAATAAAGGCACTTGTCTGTTTCCCCCTGGCTTCCTCTGCCTTCTAATTGATTCTGGTACTTCCTTTCCTACGTGGTCCCCCAGTGTGGCATGCAGTGTCTCTTTTTTTTTAATTGAGTTTATTGGTACATTTTAGGTATACAGTACAGTTACATTCATTGTTGGGATCTTGTACCTCTACATGACAGGTCTTGGTTCTCATTTTTTGTCCTTGTCCCTGCCCTCCCTTCACCCCCTCCTCCCCTCCCCATGTACAATCACTTTATTTTCATCTTTTCATTTTCTCACATTTTTTCTTTTCCGTTATTACCCCTCCCCAACCCATCCGACCTTCCCTACACCTTTAGCCCCTTTCTTCCCATTTCACATTGTCAATTATCTCATTAGGATCTTATGTACTATTACAGTTTATTCACACCAGAGAAACTATTCGGTATTTATACATGTGTGACTTATTTATTTCACTTAGAGGCACCGGTGAATAAAACCTTTCCTTCATGACAGTCATTTTTACGTCTGCCTGTTTTACCATACCTGAATAAAATGAATCCTAGGCAGGTACCTTTAAAGCAATGGAATACGTTCCTATCTACACTGGAATGGACACAAAAGTCACAATAAAAAAATGCTTACTTTAGCACAGAAAGAAAATATAAAACCCAGAATGCAAAGGCTTCCTGCTGTGCTTCTATTTTATTAGCATGGATTCTGAGTAGTTGAATCCATCCCCTTTCCTAAAGTAACAATTCAGGCTTTGTTGGCCCTGTTTTTACTTCTATGTATCAACACCAGAGAATGCACCCCCAAAAAGTATGCATCTTACCTTATATTTATTCAAAATTTCTTTTGTGAAGCCATACCTGAAAAAAGGTATTTAAACTATTGTTAGTAACTCCTACTTTTATGAGTCATAAAAAAGGGAGCCCTTGATATCTCACTATCACCAGTACCAAGAACTCAAGAAACTAGACTTCAGCTGCAACTATTACTTACCAAAGTCTTTGCCAGGCATGATGGGAAAGAACAAAAGCAGCCAATGGCATCCTCCTTACTCCCAAGGAGCTTACAGCACAATTGGGGAAATAAAACAGATTTTCATGAAATGACTATGACACAAGATAGATGCGGTAGGCACGGGTTGTGTAAAGGCTGCAATTTTTTTTAAGAGGTGTGCTGTGTGATGGAGGAAGCTGTGTGGCAAAAGGCTTTTCATTCAGATAGAATTTCTCAGATGTCCTATATTTTACAGTAAATGATTAGAAAAAAGAAAAGACTAAACAAAGACAAAGAAAACCTAGAAGGTAACAAGTTTGGTCCTTTATGATTTAACATAGGTTATAAACTGAACGTATCAAGAGTTTAATTGGAAGTATTGGGGAATTTTAATGCCTGGCTAGCTAAGGGAGTTTTTTCAATTACTTTTCTTTGCTAAAGGATGATGATATATATTCTTGCTAAGCAACACAGTAAAACAGGAACACAGAACACCACAAGTTTTCATGCAAATCATGTCCGTTCAGGTTTCTACAATGTAACATTATATTTTTTTGTGCATGAAGAACCCCTGTGCTCACCAAAAGTATATGTGTTGTCAAACCAATTTGCACCTTGCAGCTTCTTTCTCTGAAACACTAAATACAGTTAACTATACCATTCCTCTGGAAAAAATGTCTTCTTTAGGATTTTATGTCAGTAAAGTAACTTTTGGTTTTCCTCTTACCTTTCTGACTATTCTGAAGTTCCTTGGCAAGTTCTCCTCTACCCAGCCTTAAATGTTGGAGCTCCTTTAGATTCTGTCCTAGGCCCTCTCCTCCCTTCACCTTCTCCATTAGCAATCTTATTTCTGCCCATGCAGCACTTCAGTTACTGTCTAGTATCAATACCACAAAGCAATACTCCAGGATACACTTTGTTTTTGATCTCTGGACACATATACTCAACTGTCTGCTCAACAGCACCTCAGATCAACTTACTCCAAATTGAGCTCTTCATTCTCCTTCAGAATGATGTCATTATACCCCCAACCTCAAGCCAGGAACTTGAAGATCATCCTTGATTACTTCCTCTTTCTAGGCCCTCATATCAAGTTACCGACCCTCCAATCATCATTGCCTAATGTTCTCTTGAATCGATTTCATTGCCTCTCCATTGCCACTACACTAGTATAAGTGAGAATCTATTATCTATCTCTTTAACTGCTTCCTAATCAACTCACTGGATCTACTCTTGCCCTTTCCAAGAAACTCTTCCTGCTACATTTTAAAAACACAAATTATATGATAGTCTTTAATGATATTACCATGTCCTCAGAAGTCCAAATTCCTTTGTACCATTCAACCATTTCTTATATCTCCAGCACTATTGGTGCCACCTGTCATTCTATGCTTCTGTATTCTTGGAATTCTTTGAAGTCTAAAATGTCTTGTTCCAAGCTCTAAGTAAGTTATTCGCTCACTGCACAACACTCTTTCCCATACTTCTCTCTTGACTGCCTAATTTGCCCTTCAGGTCCTAGGCTAGTGCCACTCTTGTATGGGAAAATTTTCTATCACCTCCTCAGACAAGGTTGGATGACCCCTTTACAAAACTTATCACGTTTGAAAACTTGTTCAACACTGTCTTTCCTGCTATATAAAAACTCTTTTTCAAATGGGAAGGGGAACAAGACATGATGAGAGTGGGGAGGGAAGAAAGGGCTAAAGGATTTAAAGGAAAAAAAGAATTGAAGAAAAACTTGAAATTGAACTTCTGCAAGTGGGGAGGGGAAGAAGGGTTGGAGGGAGAGGAAGAGAACAGGACCAAAAAAAAGAATTAGGATGTCTTACATACATGTACAAATTCCCCATGATGAATATGATCGTTATGTACTGTAAACATGCTTTACTAATATGTTGTTTGTTTTTGTTTTGTTTTTTTGTTTCTTGGTGCCAGGGATTGAACTCAGGTCCTTGTACTTTGCAAAGCAGGTACTGGAACAACTGAGCTAAATCCCCAGCCACTAATATGTTGGGTTTTTTAAAAATGCACTCTATGTGGGCAGAGGCTATGCCTCTTTCGTTAACTTTTTCTGTTTTTGGTTTTTTGAGACAGTGTTTCAGTGTCTCCAGTGTGGTATCCTCCTGCTTCCTGTAGGCATGAGCCACCACACCTGGCTTCTTTCTTTAACTATTAAAGACACTAGATAAGTATAATTGGCTAGCTGAAAAAAATGAAAGAAAAATGGCATGCTCAAATATAAGTATTGAGCTATTTTATATAGAATGGGCTTCTGATAATAGTTCTGAGACATTTAAAATTCATAGGTTCAGCATTTGCTTTCTCACACACTGAGAATTAGAATGGAAACTCTGTTCTCAGAGTAGGTGTCAAAGGGCCCAAAAGATAAAACTAATTTCAGTTGCTGACTTTAATCAAGGCCCCCAAATCCCAGGACCAAAGGCACAAAACATGCCATACCTTCTACTGCTCTAGAGCAAATTGATTTCTGTTTTTCTTAAAATGAGAAATGAAAAGGAGGAGGAGGAAGAGGAGGAGGAGAAGAAAGCAGGGAAAATGCACATTTGTCACCTACCATGCCTTTCTGAAAAAATTCTTAAGGCATTTAACCAATCTTTATTCCTCAAATCTCTAGTGAGTCAGACAGCTGAAATGCTATGTTACATTTATTCTCAAAACTGTTTATGAACAACTGTGCCAGAAGCAATTACCAGGTCATAAAAATACACACATCAGTGAACAACATGGTACTAATCACTGAGACAACATTTGAAGCAAGCCAGAAGAGTAACAACAGAACTATTCCATCTCAGTCCATGCACAGAACCTAAATCTCCAAAATTCTCCCAAATCTAGCATAGCACACCTAACCAGTGTTGGCCTAGGAGCAAGAGAAAGAACACTGTAAAAGGGAAAAGAAAGAATAGGACTGGAAGAAAGGAGAAGAAGGGGGTTTCAGAGCAAGTGATACTCAGTTGAAGACTAGGGTGGTGAATAGGGGTAAGAATTGAGGTCTCCTTGAAATTCCCCTCATTTCTCCTTCTCTACCCTCACCTCTATCTGCTGGGAACTGAAAAAGGTAACATTTTGCAGAATGGGAAATAAAAGAGGAAATCTAAAGGCTGAGGTTACCTCATATTCATCATAAAATCTTCATGGTTGCCTCTGTTCAAGTGTATGTCCTTGGGGTAGACAAGAAAACTTACAAGCAGGATCATTAGGACCTCTATGGAATTTCTTCCTCGATCTATAAAATCACCATTAAAAAGATATGGATTGTCCCCTGAAGGAAGACCATTCTGCAGAAGGAGAAGAAAAGGAAAAACAAGCAGTTAGATTATGTTCTTAAAAAGTAAGACTTTGTACGTAATGTTCCTGTGGATATGAAGAAGAGACGCCAAGTCAGTTCTTTCACTGAAAAAAATCTGCTCATTTGGTGGAGCCAGTCTTCCTCTCCTAGGACAGGCAGCTCCTGCAAGAGACCTGGAAGAAAAGGATTCACTTGGGAAAGCAAGAAACCAGGGAGGAAGGGGGTTGCTATTCTGTCCATCACCTACTATGACTTTTCTCTAAAAGGAGTTGATCTTTGTGCTATCAAAAATGCCTACTCTCATCTCTTCCTTTTCTCCTGAAGAGGGAAACTTCTATCCAAGAAGAATACTAAACTAAGAGGCAGAAATCTTTACCTCCAAGGGGCCCAACATTTAACTGCTCTGGGTTGCAATTCCCTCAATTCGAAAAAGGAAGATGATACTATATCCCTGTAGATCTCCTGTGAGCATGGGCATGAAAGTATCCAGGCAAGCGGAAGGTGTATATGATATATGATGTGACTGGGAGCGAGGCTGATACTCCAATGGGTACAGATGCAGCCCCTCCTGGTGTCCACAGCTGGCACATATTCCAGCTGATTTCTGGCTAGGCCATATTAGTTGTTAGATATTTTGAATATCACTCCTGAGCATGAGCTATTTTTAAAGGCAACGTTAGCATGAAAAGGAGCTAAGCAGTTGACAAACGACTAATTTATAATAGCTGTCATTTAGTCCTACATTACAAAACACTAGAGACAAAAGAAATATGTGCAACGTGGTTACATTTTCTGTGTTATGCTAAGGATATGGAATATCCTGGAATACATATCCTGATAAGGAAATGGCTAAGTGCATTTCTATTGAATAGTAAGATAAAGCCTATGCCTTAAAAAATATACTACAGTAGGAGGGGGTAACGGGAGGACAGGGAAAAAATGAGAACCAAGACCTGTCATGTAAAGTATATATATATTTAATATATATATATTACAAAGAAAAAAGCAAATCACTCATATATCAAAAAGAAATATTTTCCTTCAAAAATTTATCTTCTAGAAATATTATGAATATTACTATTAAGTAATATTTAATATATATTCTGGTTATATATACATCCTTTTCAAACTATTTTAAATTTGTTAGATTTCAAACTACATAAGGTTTTATTACTTTATACTTATCCTTCTGTTTGCTTACATTTTAAATTGTTCGTAGCAATATAATAAAGAGTTGAAAACTATAACACAAGTTATAACACATAATTTAGGGATTTCAGAAATCATTTATGCAGTGCAATATATTCTGAAGATAAGTGGAAACAAACAAGCAGTGGCAGAATGTAATAAGAAGACTAACATTGTAGTCTAGCTCTACTTACTACTCAGTTGTTCCTGGACCAGTTATTTAATCTTTTTATCTATAAAATGGGGATGATAATTTTTATACTTACTATACAGTTTCAAAATCTGAAACTCAAGTGAGATTATGTTTATAAAATCACATAAAAATAAGGCAATATATAAATTATGAGATTCCTTTTATTATGACTTCCATGCTATTTCTTTTTTCTGTGCTACTTCTAATTTTAAGATTTCATCATTTTACATTTTCTTAACATATTAATTCGCATAACCTTGCTCATGTGAGACTTAGTACAGCCAATTACAAAAAATATAGGCTACTGGTCATTCATCAAAAGCTAAAATCAAAGAATTTGTCATCTTTGAGACTCTTCCTTCCTGAAGTCTTCAGCTAGCTGGAATAAGTAGCTGGAAGAGCAGGAAAAGTAAGAGGCTGTAACTCTATTGGGATTGTCCAGGCTCTGAAGGGGGCTAAAGGAACAGCATCAGAAAGCCCTGGGGTGAAAACATAAAAGGGCTAAGGACCATGGATGCCTTGACTACGGGGTGATTCCACCCCAGAGCATGGAGGCGATCCTGGGGAGAAGTGTGTTAGAGAGGTGGAGGGGAGAGAGAGTACCTGGGCAGTCTCTGTGTGAACAAACAAGGCTGTTATTTTCCCCCAGGGTGGGCTGAGTCAAATGGGGAGTGAGCAGCCAGCAAGCAGAGAATAAAGACTTTAAAGAGAAGGGGAAGGGTTGCTGTTCTGAGGAACTTGAGGGGTGGAGACAGTGTGGCATGGTCCTCAGATCACGCTGTGGTGCAGATGTACTCAGACTTCCTGGAACCAAGGGGTTGGGACGTGATGTTCTGCAATGTTCTTTCCTGCAGGCACAAATAGTTGAACATGGTGGTCTGTAACAGCCTTTCCCACCAGGCATGGCAGGAAAGGGGTATAACATTGGCTCCTACTCAAAGAAGCGTGGGGGAACTTCTTCCACATATCAAAAGCCAGAAGAATGCAAACACTTGCATTTAGGGGCATGTAGGAACACAGAGGCTTCCTTTCACATTCTTGATGCAGGAGTACAAAGTGTTGTTCCTCCAACTGTGGAGAGGCTTAAGCTAGCTTAAGCAGAAAATAGAAAGTGGAAATAATCTAGTGCTTAAGAGAATCCAGCAACTAGAAAGAGGGAGACCAATCAGATGTGCTAAAAGCAGATGGCCTCTAATGAAACAGGCTTGCTGTGGGAGACAGAGGACAATTTTATTTTTAAAAAATAGTAAGAGAAACATAAAATAAAGAACAAAAGGTTAGAAATTCTTGGCATTAAAATATGCTGTTCAATCTGGAAATAGTGGCATAAACCTATAACGCCAGGTATTCAGGAGGCTGAGGCAGAAAAATTGCAGGTTCAAGGCCAGCCTGGGCAACTTGGTAAGATGCTGTCTCAAAATTTAAAAGTAAAGTGAGAGGGAGGCTGGGGATGTGCTCAGTGGCAGAGCACTTGCCTAGTATAGGTTTAATCACCAGTACCACACACACACACACACACACACACACACACACAGAAGAATGTCATTCAAATTTAAAATATCCATGAATTAGTTCTAAAAGGATCATTGAAGAATGCAGATGTGAACAACGCACCTTGAGATATATAAATCAATATGATACCATAGAACTTGCATTTAAGTACCAACCAAGCAAGGATTCTAGAAATAGAAGAGGAAACTCTTTAAAATTACAAATATACTATAGTATTCAGATTGAATAGTTAGAAATTAATAATGGTCAAGACCTAAAAATATGGCATAAATAATAGCTTAGATTTGCAGGAGAGGGGAGCAAAGAAAAGTAAAATGCACTACAGATTTTATCTGCATGAGGGCCATGGAAAGTGTGAAAATAGTTATCTTACTGGGAGAATGAGAGGACTGTGGTAGAAAAATGGTTTCAGCTATTTAAGAAATACATAAACACATTAGTTAATAGAAGTGTCACGAATGGGGAGATAATTACTAGTGAAAAGAAAAGCACAATAAAAATTACAAATACAAATAACAATTAAAAAAAGACTTCAAGCTGGGCACATTGGCATGCACCAGTAATCCTAGCTACTCAAAGGGTGAGGCAGGAAGACTAGCAGTTCAAGGTCAGCCTAGGCAACATAGGAAGACCTTGTCCCAAAAAGGAGGAAAAGAGAAAAATAAAAGAAAGAGAAAAAGGAAGTTAAAAGAGAAAACCAAAACATCAAAAAAGATGAACCAAAGAAAATAGTAAAGTAGATGACAAGAAAAATTTTAAATACACCCGTTGTTATACTAAGTTTGAATGAATTAAATTCTCCTATTAGATCACCAAGATCACCAGAATGTATTAAAACACAAAAATTAGGTTTATACAAGAGTAAAGTTATTAAACAAATGTTGAAAAGTAATTTATCTGGAAAACAAGATAAAGGCAACAAAGAAAATGTAAGAACAAAAATCTTAATACTAGAAAAAGTGGAATTCAAGATTAAAGCATTAAATAGCATCACAAAGCAACCAAAAGTCATAGTGAAAGGCACTTCATGAAGAAGTTACAATTCATGTATCTGTCAATATATAAAAGAACAAATTTGTGCTTCAGATATTTATTATAAATGCAAAAAGAAATGTTTAAAATACAAACATAGTGAGTTATTCAAATTGAATTATTGGTTTACAATAATATCCATAAATTCGTTGACATTAACTTTAAACAGTGAGGCCTAATTCACCTCCTCTTGAGTGTGGGCTGCACTTAGTGACTTGCTTCTTTCTAATAAATAGAAGATAAAAAACAACAGAAGTGATGATGCGCAATTTCAGAAAATAAATCATAAAAGACACCACCACTTCCTGACTGCGCTCGCTCTCTCGCTCTCTCTCTCTCTCTCTCTCTCTCTCTCTCTCTCTCTCTCT